TTATGACAGGTTTATTCTAGCTTTTCTTTATGAATCAATCTATCTATTGGAAGTCCTTCAATTTCAATAATTAATTAGTCTGTTTGTTTTCTTGATTATATTTAATCTTAAGAATAGGGGATATTACGCCAAAAATAATTTTATGGTTAATTAGGCTGCTATGATTCTTAAGAATTATTTTATTATTATTGGTTAGGTTCTTAATTCTATTAAAACATATAAAAAATAATTAAAATATATTTATTTATGTTATTATTCAATAATATAACTTTTATGAAGTATTAATTAATTTTAATCATATTCCCATAATTATTATTTTAACAGGTTGCAATATATTTAGAATTGATAACTAGGCTTTTATATTTTAATCTTAACCATTGTTCCAATAAAAATATTATTATCATCCAATCAAATATTCACCTTTAGTTTTTACTGTTTAATTTAATTAAATTTATTTAACTTAAAGCCAAAGAATTTATAGTAATATTTCCTAAATCTCCATAAACAACATACCAAATTTAAGTAATATACATTTACTTCAGATGCAATTACTAATACATTTCCTTTTTATAAATAGCCTATACTAATGTAATTAACCCTTGCTTATATACAATCACTTAATACCGAAAATTGTTTAAGTTTAAAATTTATTCATAATCTTATTAAACATTTTGTTAATTTTATTTTTCTAAAATAGTGTAAATAAGGTAAAAATAAGCTATTTATTTAGGATTTTAACTAAAATATCTCCTGATTGAATTTAAAATGGTAAAACCTTAAAAATAATTTTTGTCTATGTTATTCAGGAAAAAATAGAAATTTATATTGTTTTTGTATTTTTTTTAAATTTCATGTAATTATAAGTTTTACTTAATTTCCCATGGCTTTTAAACTTTAATAAATATAAGTTTTAATTCTAAACACAACTATTAAATTAACAGCCATTAAACCATCTATTCAAATGGAGTAGCATTTATTTTTTTAGTGCATTTATCAATATTACATTTCCTTCAATAGATGATCATTTACACTATTATCCAATTTAACTATGAAATTATAAATTGGTTGATATAATTAAATTTATTCTAAGCCTTGATATCCAATTAACAAAAATCTCCATTGTATATATGAAATTGTTATTGTGGACTAAACTAAAGGTTTTACTTCGATTTTTTTTAATTAGATACTATATTTTATGTATCATATATTGCAATTGATGTGGCAATTTGTTAAATAATTTTTTTGTTTAAAGAAAAATTGATTTAAATTTGCAAATTGCTCTACCAAAAGAGAAAATATTCAAATGTTAACCTTCATGATTATAGATGTATTATGGTTTTAACATTCTAATAGTATTATTTTGTTTTATTAAAAAAACACTGACTATTTTTTTATTCAAATCAAACTGAGGACTTTTAAAATCCCCTTAATTAAGTTTGTTTCCAAATGATTATTATCATTAGATCCAAAATAATTATCTCTACGTCCAAGTTTTTAAATTATTCAATCATACTGAACATTATAGATTTATTGACTTTATTTGATTTCTTTCTTATTAATCTGAAAAAAATAAAATAAATTTTCAATCTTTACTTTTGAATTAAGTTGATTTGGTAACTTCATTCGTATATATAGGATGGAAGAATAATCTTAATTATTTTCATTTATATAGAAAAATTTAATTCTTAATTATCTAATTTATAATTAAATCTTTTTCTAAAGTTGTAATAGCAAGAAGATGAAAAGAAAAAAATATCAAATAAATTAAAATGGTTCCTAATATTTTAATAGTATGATTAAGAAAAATAATAGTTCTTGATAAACTAAAAGCAGAAAAGCATATCCAAAATTTAAATGAAAATAGATCCATTTATTTAAGTAAAGTGACTGCATTTAATTAAATTGAAATTAAATCAATTCAATTTATTGAATTTAAAAGATGAGAGAAATGTGATGCTGCCATCATTTAGTAAAAGTATCTTAAGATAATATTTATTAATTTAAATTGAGTATTTTTTATTGCTATATCTCTTTCTTTAAATTCTGTTTTATCATCTTCCATCTCTTATTATAGTCAATAACTATTTTTTGAATCCATTTATAATAATTTTTGTAATGAATTACTTTTGCATTAAAATTAAAAAGAGTTAAAAAAGAAACACCTATCCTTCCATTTCATTACTCCTCTAATAAAAAATTCTAAAATATTACCAAATAAATATTTCCTTTGAAATCTTCTATGTTAATTTTACTTCTTACTTATCTCAGGTCTCAGCATTAATTATTATCACTTTTATATAATAATTAATCGCCATGACAGTTTTGACATAGTAGATTGAGAATGCTATCCAACCTTCCCTAAATTTGTCTAATGATTTCTGTATCCAATTAATTTAGTTTGATGGATTTTTACAGATATATTCATTAAGTTCCTTATATTAAGAATTTTTATTACCTATTCCTTAATATATTAAGATATAACATAGAAAAGTATATAATAACAGAAATTACTTTTGTGTTAGAATTTTTATCATCGATTAAAACTATTTCATTATTTCCTTTCCATTTTCCAGGATTGGATGCTTCAATATATCTTCATAATAAAATAAATCGATTAAGGTATCAATCTTTGAAAGTTAGGATGATTATTTAAAAATAAAATAAATTTAAATTGTATGTTTTATTATAAATTTTATTATTAGTAGTAGCAGTAGTAAATATTTGTTCCAAATAATAATGATGGTTGGTATTGTTGTATCTTTGATCAAATGATTCCAAAACATGGATCAGTCAAACTTGCATTTAGAACATTAAATAATATTATGTAATGATAGGAATAGGTATTCAAAATATTGTATAAAAGAATAATTATTATGATTCATTTTAAATTGGAAAAGGGTAGTATATTAATTACTAATAATAGAAGATATTTTTTATATTATAATGGTAGATGTTTTAATCATGACTAAAAAGAAAAAATGATAAAGAGTGAATTTAAATGATATCTATTTATCATTTTTATCTTATTAATTTTTGAAGATTTCAGTTCATATTCAATTATACATTTTTCGATGAATTTCATGTAATTAAAACTTAAATTAATTATTTTCTCTCAAATTTAATATTAATATCTTAACATTAAGATCAGACTTTAACAAAATGATTGAAATATCCTCTAAATTCTACTCTAAAAACTTAATTAATTTCTTAAGTTTAATTTGATAATCTTATCAGAATTTTTTAATCTTTTTTCCAAGTTCTTTTAAAACCTTTCTCAATTACAAAATCTTAAAATATTTTCTGTTATTTATAATACCAAGACAGTTACAGATAATAATGACAAATATTCATAAAAATTAATTTATCAATTTCAGAATGTAATATGAAATCAAAAATTGTTATAAAT